CATACATACATCAATTGTGTAAAGCACATTTGTACATTCATTGCCCTCATCATTCTCAAAACATTTGCTCTCCACTTAAGCCCCTGGCATCAGCTCTTCATTTTTCCTTCAATTCTCTTATTATAAAACAAATAAAAAATGTAGTTACTAAAAAGAGGATCTATAAGTAGTTGTTGCCATAGTTTGAAGAGGAAGTACCATTTAATTAAAAGTATGTCACACTAGAGCTAAGAATCAGGTTCTACTCCTACTCCAGTATAAACTGGTTATAAGATCTTAAACAGGTTATTCAATTTTTCTGGTGCTCGGTATCCTCATCTATAAAATAAGATCCTTTAATAATATCCAGCCTTTAAAGAATTATGTGGGGGAAAAATCAGTTATTTTTAAGTGCTAAAACACATAATTAAATGTTATCATGCAGTTGTCATAATAACTTTCTTCTGTTCTAATAGTGCACTCACCAGATGTCAGATCTTTGTAGTTTTGTTGGTTTATCAAAACTTGAGTAAGAACAGACCTCATGGCTCCTCCCATTTTAGTTAGTTCTTCTAAAAAGGAAATCTGAGGTTCCAAAAGCTGAAGAACTTTGTTAAGGTCTTTTTCTAATGGTACATCAGCTACTAAAAAGAAAGAAATAAAAATAATAATTAAGACTAACTTTCTCTAAAATACTCTGCTAGTAATAACAATTATTATTCTTTTCAAATTACAGTGGCATACATGACACTATCTTACAATCATAGAATTCAGTAGAAGAAATCTGTTTAGAAAGTTCATTATCACCACAGCACCAAACCTAGGGCAAACTTGCTCAAAAACTCCATTCTCTGACAAAAAGGAAGGTGAATAAAAGAGGAGATTGGCGAGGGCGGGGGGTGGGGAGCCTGATACAAGGGCTCAATAGAAAATAAATGTCTAGAAGAGAATGAGGGCAACGTATGTGCAAACATGCCTGATTCAATTGGTGTATGGGTTGTGATAAGAGTTGTACGAGCCCCTAATAAAATGATTTAAAAAAAGGAGATGGTCTCTTAAGATATTCAACAGTAAAAAAACAAACAAACAAAGATATTGAACAGTACAGATAAAGGTTCTAAGCATCTAGACATATCAACATAATCAGATATCATTTCAAAATACGATCATGTTTAAGAAAAAGTTACTCTCTGAAATAAAACAAGTTAGACTTCAAATATAATAAGGGTAGTTTATTAAGATAATAATTTCAGCTTTAAATGTAAACCTGTATAGCAAACATCCATTCTTTATCATATTCCAAAAGTGTAGACTCATGTTAGCTGAGCCAAATCAATTAAAATAAAAGATAACTGCTTTCATAAAAAAATGAATATTTTTACTGAGAAAAAAAAGTTCTATGCAGGATCAATCCAGTAGAATTGGAGAACAAGATATGAAACCTGGGCAACAACTGAGAAAGCAGGTTGAAGATGAAGAAAGCATGTCTTAGGGGGAAAAGGAGGACTAAACCGAGAAATGTGGATAGGGAGATTTCGTGTTTCGCCATAAATGGTGCAAAGAAAGAAACATACCCGGGAGATAACAGGGCATACCTGCATGCCAAGGTAAGGAGCTATCAAGCTCATCCAATATTCAATTTACTCAGCATCTACTACATTATGGCCAAAATCAAATCAAAACCAAACTCACTGCCATCATGTCAATCCTAACAGATAAAGATCCATATAGAGCAGAGAATTGGTCCTGTGAGTTTCTAAGGTTGTAAATCTTTACAACTCCTAGCCTTGTGGTTAGCTGCCCAACTCATAACTCACTTCGCCACCAGATCTCCACATTATAGGCATTGTGGCAAAGCTAAATAAGACATAGTTCTTACACACAAGGAACACACAACAGAGCTCAAAGATAAATAGAGATAGATACACACACACACACACATACATACATACCATCAAGTCGTTTTCAACTCGGTGACCCTATCTAAGGTTTCCAAGTGTGTAAATCTTCAGAAAAGCAGTCTCATGTTTCTCTCATCAAATGGTAGATGGCCCTGAATCTTAGCAGATCCAAAGCTTAACCCACTGTGCCACCAGGTATCATTAAGTGGTATGTGGTAGGTTTTTAGTTGTGAATCAGAACCACCTCAGGGGGGCTGGGGGGGCACTTTGTTTCCTTGAACTCTGACAGTTTTATGTGTGAATTACAGGAAGAATTGAGAAAAAGAACTCAAGACGACAATCAACCCATGAGACTTATGAAATATGACCTTGCAATGGATTATTTCAAGTCTTTTGGCTAATTTTAAATAGTGACCTCTATGAAAATACTGCAAAAGAGAAGTGATTACTGAGCACAGTAATAATTGAAAAAGAAATGAAGGAAACTTCAAAGACAAGTTCATAAAACTCATCTTTTAGAGCAAAAGGAAAAAGGGTGTCCTCATTCATTCATTTTACCTCCAAATAATGGCCATAGAGAACAATCAAAGCTTTGTACATATGCCATATACCTTTTAAAACTGCAGTGTCATCAAAGTGGGGGAAGGGGGGCCACTTTTCATAAAGTAATAAATTTTAAGGTTCTCATATATAATGGTTATGTTTCTAAAATAGGATATTTGTACTACATTTTATTCTATTTACAAAAGTAAATTCCTAAAGAGTGTGCTAGTTTATGAGATATAATGCAGAAGGTAACGTCAAGAACTTAGCTCATATTTGTTTCCATGATGACAAAGAAACAGTAACTCAATTGGGACTAAATAAAATTTACATTTCCTTCTATGTTCTAAGTCATTAAGTGTGAAATGAGTAGAAGCACTTAACAAAGGACTGAACAGTTGACCTAAAATATAGAAATAAGGAAGTATAATGACTTGCTCAGATAAGATAGTTTGAGAAAGGATTAAGATATATTTCCTCATACTTTAAGGGTGAGGAGTAAATAAAAGATAAAAATGTGTACTATATTTTAAAAATAAAAACATGATTTATAGGCTGAAATTATTTAAATCTCTAAGGAGAATTTAAAATGTAATATTTTATATGATGAAAATGTAGGAATCATTTAAAAGGTAAAAAATCTATAAAAAGTTAATAAATGTGTTCTATATAGCTAATTGGTATCTGTAATTCACTATGTCTGCCTGAATCCTTATAGGTAGAATCTAAATCCAAATATTTAATTCAAGTACATCAATCAAGACTATCACATCTTAAAAAGTGAGACCCATAACGAACTTCTCTTGTGTTTCCAATACTAACATAAAGCGTATACCACTACATTCTGTCAGCAATAAGAGTGAGCCATCAATCTTCTCCAACTTGTGACACTCGTGTCACTACCTCTACTGCTTCAGAAGGTTTCTGAGCTGTGGCTCTACAGACGCAGACCACCAGCACTTTCTCGCATGGGGCCGAAGGGGGAGCTTTGAAGCCCTAACTTTTCAGTTAGCAGCTGAGAGTTTAACCTTTGTGCCATCAGAGCGCTCTGTTAGCTAGATGAAGGGAAATAAAGATATTCAGACCTCTACCAAAAATAATAAAGATTGGTGAAATGCAATTTACCGTCTAAAAACTGTAGGTTAAATTTGAACATTTCTAAGACTTCAAAATTCTGTTCTACCATTATATGATGTCAAAATAAAGGAATTTAAACCCCATGATTATTTATTCATCTGTAAAAATGCAAATAAGTTTAATCAAAAACACCTAAGACCCTAAGACCAGAAAACATTAGACTAAATCTACCACAATATATCTGTGCAGTTATATTAATAGATTTTTTTACTGTTTTCATGCAGACTGTACAGTCTTGTCATTAAAAATGTTAAGCAAAAGGCAGTCTCTAAAAGACCTGACTTTATTGTTAATACTAAAACTTTATTCATTGGAACTTAAAAACAGTACTGACAAGGATTGTATTAAAACATACCTGGTTCATTATAGCCTTCTCTTAAGTACTGAATAAGACAAAAAATAAATCTTGGAAGAACAAATTCAGACATCATCAGTAAGTCTTTGGGGACACAAGGAATATTTGAACTTGATTTAATTTGATGCCTTTTGCAAAACCTGTAATATGAAAAAGAATAAAAAATTAACAGTAATAATCTAACCTGCCAAGAATACATTACTTTTATTCACAATATTCATAACAAGGCTAATATCAAAGTCAATAAACTATTTCTTTTTTAGTTTTAAGGCACCAAGTTAAAAGAATGTAGTTTTAGTCAATCTTTAAATAAAAAATGACAATAAGTTAGATTTCACTGAAAAACCATACTGGTTAAATTCCAACAAGAACACAAAAAGAAATTTCACAAATGAATTTGTATGTGTTTAATTGCCAATTATTACTTTAATTTCTGCTTTACTACTTTCTATCCCTTATGAACCATTAAACACAAATTTATCAATTCACAAGAATTTGCATTTTTCAATTTCTGATTCAACTGTTTCTTATTTACTACATTAATGAAAAAATGTGTTCTTTAAAAATGCTTATTTTATAACTTTATTCTCTTAAGTATATAATATAGTTTCTAATCTTGCCAACACCCATTTTACAGTATAATCGGTGTGCCTGAGCAAAAATGAAGTAAATTACTCTAGAATCAAAACCAAATGATTACTAAGTTATTTTGCCAAGACACAAACTAGCCAAACTAATCTACAAAAAAGTCTAAAAATAAACTTACCAGAAACCATGCAAAACTATTTTAGCTATAAAAAACACAAATGAAAAAAAAAAACCACAAATGAGTTAAATAGAAAAAAACTACATTCTCAAATGGAAAAATAATTTTAAAAGAGGTGGGCTATCGTCCGACACAATCGCTAAAGACAAAATAGGTGAACAAAGCTGATGGTGCCCAGCTATCAAAAGATATAGCGTCCGGAGTCTTAAAGGCTTGAAGATAAACGAGCAGCTATAGAGCAGAGAAGCAACAAGCCCACATGGAAGAAGCACACCAGTCTGCGCGATGGAATCAGGTAATGGGCACCAGAAGACCCAAAACAAACAAAAACGTATTGCTGAGAACTAGGCAGATCGGAGCAGAGACCCAAAACCCATCTGAAGGCATCCTCTCACAGAAAGACCACAAGTTAGGCGTGAGTCAATCAGGGCGCAGTATAGCAGATGAAACACACAATGTTCCTCTGGATCTTTGAGGCTTCCTCACCCCCCACCACCATAACCCTGGTCCTGCCTTTCAGTTATGGCTCGATCGCAGCATGTACACTGGTACAAATTAGAGCTCACGACAAATAGAATCCTGGTCAGATAAACCCCTCAGGTACAGAAATGAGAGTAGCGATACCAGGAGGGTAGGGGGAAGGTGATGGGAAGAGGGAGGAAGGGGGAACCAATCTCAATGATCAATGCATAAGCCCCCCACCAGGGGGATGAACAACAGAAACCTAAGTGAAGTGAGACAACGGTTGATGTAAGATATGAAAACAATAATAAATTTATAATTTATCAAGGGGTCACGAGGGGGAGAGGGGATGAAAGGGAAAAAAGAAAAGCTAATACCAAGGACTCAAATAGAAAGTAAATGTTTAGAAAATGATGACAGCAACATATGTACAAATATGCTGACACAATGGATGTATGGATTGTTAAAAGAGCTGTAAGAGGCCCCAATAAAATGATTTTTTTAAAAAGAGGTAGGTTGGTCAGTTCTCCCCCAAACTTAATCACTAGATTTCAATTCAAATGAAATTGACATATCAATTTCTAAGTTAAAATGGAAGAGTATACATACAAAGAAATTAGTTAAACTTTAGAAATGATTAATAATGAACTGGACCTGAAAACAAAGTACAAAGCTACTTTTATTAAGCTTCTATAGGAAAGCAATAATATCAACGAACAAGATTCCAGAAATAGACTATGTAAGTTAGTGAATTTAATACATGTTAAGTCTGCCGTCTTAATGAAAGATGGTGGGGAGGTCCTAAATAGCTTTAGGACCATTGATAATCTAACTTGATAGTCCATGTATTCCATAATGATTAAAAATCAAATGTAAAAAAAGTACCAAGAAAATAAACTAATCCCCTATATAAGTGGTTGTCAACCTATGGGTCGCAATCCCTTTCGGGATCAAACGACCCTTTCACAGGGGTTGCCCGATTCATAACAGTAGCAAAATTACAGTTATGAAGTAGCAACAAAAAAATTTTATGGTTGGGAGGTCACCACAAGATGAGGAACTGTATTGTATTAAAGGGTCGCGGCATTAGGAAGGTTGAGAACCACTGTACTAGAGAATCAACATCAACCCAAAGCTAATTTCTACAAGGTGTAAGTCAGACTCTCTCCAACCCTCTTAGCAATTCTACCAGCTGTCATTCCTTCCACAGTACTTCTACATCTATGCTATGTTCAATAAATCATTGCAATGGTCCAACAGGCCTCAAGACAATACTCACCACTATGGGATTTATAAGGATAACTTGCTTCACCATACTTACTCTTGCAGACACTGCATCTTTTTTTAGTTAAAGGTTTTTAACAACCCCTGTATCAAGCATGTTAATTGGCACCATTTTTCCAACAGCATATACTCATTTCATGTCTCGTATGTCACATTTTGGTAATTCTCACAATATTTCAAACTTTTTCATAATGCTATTGCACACATAATAGATTACAGTATAGATATTATTTTAGATGTACAGAGGAATTAAAGAATTCATGTGCCTTGCTTTATTGTCTTATATTCTTTATTGTGGTATCCCAGAACCAAACCCTCAATATTCCTGAGGGAGGAAGGGAGGGTGTGTGTGTGTGTGTGTGTGTGCGTGCATGCGCACAAGCAAGGGTACTTCAAAAATATGTCTATATTAAGTAATGGTTTATGATTCAAAATCAGAAACAACTCAGGATACAGTTTTTCCATCAGAACATGTAACCTAGGTAAGCCTCTCTGCCCCTTCTTGGACAAGTGTTCCAAAGCTCTTTAATACCAGCCATTCCACTACACCAGTTAGTGTCAGCCTAAAGGCAATCAGCTATTTCGCTCCATGGGCCAAGCTGACTCCACAATCTTCTGCCAGTCTCATGGTTCTGCTGCCTCTACTACAGCCATTTCTCTGCCACTGCTTCTCACCATTTCCTGCCACCTTGCTAGTGCAGTGCTCCATCTCCTGGGTCTAGGCGGGTCCCAGCACTGGGGCACTAGGTTCTGAGGACATGTTCTGCTGCTATCGCTTCTTGGTGTGGTATTCAGGTGACCTTCTCCCCACCACGCACTGGAATCAGCTCTCTTTCAAGCCTAGCAGAATAGCAAAACTGACCAGTCATTTCACACCTTACTTGCCTGATTCCGACCCTGCAGGGTTCTATACAGTTCATTTGCATTATTAGCAAATTGTCCACTCTGCTTGGTGGGCCACAAAAACCTTATATGCACAGTCCTACCAATCATTTGCACAGGACAACTGACAATTTCTATAAATAGTCTGTGATAAGGAGGAAAAGGATGTAAAAAGTTACCTTAAATTCTAATAGGCTAGAGATGAAAGGCAGACAATTTGTTACATAGTTAACACAGTTTTTTCCAAATGCCAAAAAAAAAATCACTTGTAATGTATGAATAAATCATAAGAAACCTTTATCATTTTTAGTCAATTTGGAAAATGGGATTATGAACAGATATTATTTTACTACAGTTAATTTTAGTAAGTATGATGATGATGATGATGATGATGATGATAACGTAGTTATATAAGAAAATGTTTAAACGGATTTGATACTATGGAATTATTTTGTATAGATATGACAACAGCATTGTAATTATCACTGATATCACATTTAGAATTATAAAGAATATATAAAATTTCAAATAGTCACACATATTGAAATATTTACAAATGAAATACTTTAAAATAATCTATGAGGTTATGGGGAATAAGTAGGAATATACTAAGATCAGCTATGAACACTTAATTGTTGAAACTGGGAGATGACAGCATGAGGTTTCATTGTATTATGTTCAGTAATTTTATTTTATTTAGCTTTGAAATTTTCTGTGCTAACAAAGTTAAAATAATTTTAAAACAAAATACACATGTATTTTTTTAAATAAATACTGAAGCCTTGAAACAGTGAAAGGACATGATGTCTGAAATTTTCTTTGTTTCAACAAAGGGAAGGGAAGATGCAGCAACTGAGGCAAGAATTTTAATACATATTGTGTCTGAGTATGTGGAAGTTCAACTGAGTATATGAAAGTTCAACATTATATTGTATTTATCTATATGAATGTTTGAAAATTCTTATAATATAAAAATGCTTTTTTCACCTTGTAGATAAAGCAAAGATCCACATTCATTGGTGGGAAACATGCTCAGAAATATTCACAATCAAACATGCTCAGAAATATTCACAATCACATTCAGGAATACTGACAGGCCCAATTTTGGGTGACATGTATGCAATATCTATTAAATTGTTAAATGTTCATACCCC